GCCCCAAACGGTATACTATATGAGCAGCAGATAAATTACTAAAAAAAGGCCTTCTGGAAAAAATGGAAGTGGTGAACAAAAAGTAATACAGTCGAAACGTTGGTGTTTAAATAAAATTTGTAGCTGTAGCTGACGAATTGTAGCAGAATTTTACCGGCACTGCTGAGCAAATTTTCGATTATGCAGAAGCTTAGGCAAGTAAAAATGGTTTGTTAACTTGTAACATTTCCTTCTCGTTAAATGAAAATCGGAACTGGTGGTGCTTGTTGCAAAATAACAAGCAATAACCCACACCAAAAGTCAAAACTTTCCCCATATCTGCTCTTTGGGAAGCAAAAGTACATGACAAAGTTGCCAAAGAGAAGCATATGTCAGACAGCAACGATCAGTTGCCAAAGTTATGGAAATCCCCTCATTCAGGGGTTGCATAGAAGTACCTGATGTCAACGTTTAGTCCCTGGCATACACTAGTACCAATTCCACCATCAAAAATAATGAACGAATTGCGCAGGGTTTGCTTGCCCCACTGGCGAAGTCGAACTTTCAATCTTCTGCACAGCAGTAGCGCTACTTGTCACTGCGCCATGCCCGCCAGCAAAAATCCCGCATTTAGAACAAAAAAGATAAATGCTTCACCAACTGTACGAAATGCAGTAATTTCTTCTTCGTCGTATCTTGAATTCTTCATTTAAACTGGTCACTGTATAGCACACTATTCCAGAGGTTTCAGTAGGACTGATTGTAAAATTTTGTTTTATTTTTTTCGTTTCTACGATTATCCTTATTCAGCCACTCCCCAATACTTTTTTCTCAGTAGTTACTCGGATCGGAGAGCACTGTGCCCTTATCAGAATAAGTTCGTGTCTGTCGCAAGTTGTATAAATAAATGTTGAATACAGCGCAGCGCTTGAGTCAGGCCACGAACGTCGGTACTGCATAAAGCATGTAGTGAGAGGTAATAACAGTAATGGAAGCCGATACGAGACAACTACAAAATTATGATCTTTATAAACAGCCAACAGCGGCAAGAGGACGAGGTGCACTGTAAGTTACTTCTTTTGCACGGCAGTTTTCGTCTTGGAACGCCCGAGGCACTAACAAATTTCTTCACGTATTTTCTCTTAACTTCAATTTATTGTAATCTCTCACGCACTGTGACAACTATACTACTCAACAAATGTATCACCTGATCGCCGCTCACTCAGCCGCTGCTGGCCCAGGCGCTTGCTTCTCCGCTTTTTCTCTTGAGTGAATTCTTGGCGTCCGAATATCTGCAGAAATGATATACTTACATCCACATATTCATCTCACTTTCGTCATTTTTTCAAAGTGCAGGATTCGTACATCCGGTCCATCGTCAAAATGGCTGTGGTGCGGTAATCGTGTGATTCCTGCCAAAGTGATTAGCAAACTGCCGTGCACTTTATGGGAGAGGAGCGAAAGTGACTAGTTTTGCCTACTCCTTAGCTGCTTCCACAGCATTAGAGCGCACTCGGCTTGTGGGCTAGCTGGCCCACTTGTTTTTTGATGGAGCTAATCTGGCTTAAATAAATCGACGCTTCTTTATTCATTCTTTAGGTCACTTAAGTTTTCATTAGGGTATAATAGACTTTAACGAAAAATGCTTTAAAAAAGTAGAAAAGTAAAAAAGAAATCAGTTTGCAGAGTTGAAGTAGGCACGCTGTAAAGACTCTACGGCTGCAGATGCTCCAACACAGGTACTCCTAAGCAAGTACAACTTTCACTTTCGTCGTCCTCTTCACCAGACCGACTTGTGAAGTAGTCAAGGACAGCAGGCTGTGCGTAATTGGTAGTGTTGATGCTATGCTGAGCTGACTGTAGCATGATTATAGCATGTAAATAATACTAAGAACTTAAATAGGGTAAGCATGGAGTGAACTATATATGGATGGATGTAGAAATGTAGCTGGTATGGGGAAAACTAAGTACGAAAGAGTTAAGACGTTTCGGTTAATATTTTGAAAATTTCTCGACTCTCCCATAACACATGCAGCATTGTCGGCGCCGTGAATAGAAACGAGGAGCCCTTTGATGCCAACACTGAACTAACTCTTGTGATCGGCTTGTGAGAGGAGTCAACTTGTGAAGTGTTCCCTTGTTAGTTAATTGCACTGCTGCTCTTCACATCTTTGTAAGGCATCTGAGTAAGAAATCATTCAAGAATGGAATGGCGTAGCCTCCGCCCGCGTGCTGCAGGCTGTCGTTAATTGTCTGGGCTGTAGAAGACTCAGCGGACCGAAAAATTCTTTCCCAGATATTTATTTATCTGTCATCCACGCTACACATTTTTCTTAATTTCTCATATTTAATACTCATCTGTCAATTTCCTACCTGCTGCCTGTTCTACTGTTATTACAGAAAACAAGCTTTATTGTGTGAAATTAAACAGTATTTCTTTGAAACTTAACAAGTCATTTATCTGTTACCCTAGAAGTAATACTTGTAAAACAAGCTTTCTGGGATAAACAATGCCTGAGAACAATCAATCAGACTGGTGAAGAATCATCACCAAAACACAGTTACTAAGTGAAATGCGACAAAGCAGTACTCCAGGAAACAAACACTCAAAAATTGCACTCCTGGGCTAGAAGGGTGATGAAAACATCGTAACGCATAAATTTAGCGTCACTGTAGTCAGTTTCCTATTACATGCAAAAAAATTGACAGCCCACTGGCCAGCCACAATTCATGCCTCTTACCCACAGCTGGATATTCCTAGTCCAACCTTCCATCCAGCTGGATCTCTTCCGTTCCACCTCCTGATCCTGAACGAAAATTGCTCTCCATCCTGGAATTCCGACTGACAGGAAATAAAGAATTGGAAATGTACGGACCACTAAACAGAGACATAAATCGGTTGGCTTCCAGCTGTTCATCGGAAACTGAAGATCCTGGAAGCGGGCGACGTCTGCTACGGTTAATCGCTTCTGCCTGTCCGACCACAATATGTGCTTGATAAAACATAGCCCGTTGTAAGATATTGTGGACACGGCGCTCCATCAAACTGCTATATTCTAACATCCTGCAAAAACA